GCTGAACTGTGCAGTAAGGAAGTATTTTAGTTCTGTTGACCCAGATTCCAGTACTGTCAGAGAAGGGGCAGGAATATCTTAAGGTTGGTCAACAGGCTGGTAATCCATGACCACAAGTCTAACCTTTCAGAGTGGATCTCATAATCTCATCCCTTTTTTGTTTTTTAAGGTGAAAGCTAGTGCGCCATTGTCACAAGGCACCGACGAGTTATTACAAAACACATGATTACAAAAGAGAAAAAACGTTTCTCATCCTGTTTTCCCGGGGAAAACGCCTTCTAATCAACTTGTGTTGCAAATGCCAAAGTGAAAGCACTCAATCTGCTAACATCTCTTCTAATAAGGATAACTTAATTTAACTTAGCATTTTTTCCCCACAGGGCCCAAGACATATTGCATCAGAGATTGTGAAGCAGCCATCTTGGGAACACTTATTAATTCAGCCGCATTAGTCCCTGTTCAGTCAGTCTCATTTAAAAATGTATTTTTCACAACAAAAGCTAAGGACAGTCATTAGAAAAACATAATCTTTATTTTACCATCATTTTAAATTAAGGCATTTACTCATTGAAAGTATCTTATCTCCTGCTCTTGATGTACCGATGTCCTTCATAAAAATAGGGCCGTTTTAAATCTTAGTGTTTTCCAATGAAATAAACTGAAATGCATCAAATTGCTTGTCAACGTGTGTGTTTTCAGTGTGCGTTAAAATGCGCTTTGTATTGAATGTCATACCGCACATTGAAGCATGTCTTAATGCATACATTGAGATGCGTTTCCATTGATTTCAATAAAGAACAATTTTTCAAAATAGGAGTTTGAGTGTTCATTTACAGTTTGCTGACGTCTGAGTATACTATGGTTTTATAAACACAACCAAGGAGTAGCATAGTGTCAGTGATCACTTCAAACTGGAGATGGCCTTGAAAATGTCATAAAATATCATATGTCATTTGAACATGCCTTAAAGAAATTCTGTCACTTTAAGACAAGAATATACTGTTGACGTGTATAAAGTGCAGGAAACCAAAGGTCTCTTTGCCGTGTGTCAGATAGAAAAGGAAGTGAGAACCTCTATTATGTTTTATTGTCACTGTGTCCCCGTTAGTGAGATTTCCCCCTGCTTCCTTTCTGGATAATTCTATCAGACAGAACAGGAAGTGAGACAAAATTTGCCTAAAGTAAACGAGCAGTATCCATAACCTTACAGAGATTATAAACCTTTACAAATATAATGTCATGTCCTGTAGCAACCAGTTACCATTTTTTCTAGGGATGCAGCGATACCGATACTAGTATCGGTATAAGTGCCAATACCGAGTATTTAGGCGAGTTCTCGTACGGTAAGTTGATTGGCCAGGGAGCCGACTCCATGCTGATCGACTGGGAAACCGGCTTCACAGCCAATCAGCATGGAGCTGGCTTCCCGGGCAGTCAAGAAGCCTGGGTGGCGGGTAATGACACACCGCCTGGCTTCCTGATTGCCCGGGAAGCCAGCTCCATGCTAGCAGAAGTACTGGTATCGATACTCGGTATCGGCGAGTACCGAAATATAAATATCGGTACTCGTACTCAATACCGAAAAAAACAGAATCCGCACATCCCTAGTTTTTCCAAATGCTGCTTTAAAAATAAAAGTTCAAATATGATTGGATGTCACGGCCACACCACCACTTTGCTACAACCTTTTTCACTTTGCGTAACCATCTCTACCAGCGACACTAATCATTTATTTTTTTGTATGCTTTGTGACTTGAAATTGCAATGCAAACTTTGTTCTTCCTGCCCTGAAGTTCCACTAAGATCCCTCCCAGCGGGCAGCACATAGTTTTGAATACCACTCGGATATGATAAATCTTATCTGATGGCCAAAGGCTTTAAACACTAAAGATAACCCCCCTGACTAAATCTGCATTGAGACCGAGCAGCTGTATTATGAAAGGTATTTTGTGCTGGCTGCCAATCCAATGGCCTTCTGCCGATTGGCTCTCTGGAATGTACAGAGGGACAGAGTTGACCCGGGTAAGTCACACAGACTCTGTGTCTTTCTTTGCACTATGATTCTGCTAAGACAGATTACTCATGCTTATTTGAGTCAGGTAGGTCTTTGCAAGCTTCCCTGCCAGGCTTGGGAATTGAGTACATTGAGGAGCTATTCAGGGGCTTCTGATATAGCCCAAGCTTTTATTGCGTACATTCTGACCTAATCCGTCTCCACCCAGTTTGTAAGCACCACAGTTTTTTTTTTCCTCTCCCTTCTCCCTCGCTCTTCAATCAAAAGAGGTTATCACCTACCTTAATCCGCAGAGCAGCATGGATTAAACTCAGCTATGTGCCCCAGGATTCCCAAAGAGGATCCAAAGACGAGGCAAGAAAATAAAATACTTGTTTCTACTTTTTTCAGTATCTTCACTAACTTCTCTTGAGCTTTCGTTGGGGGATTAGCATCTGAAATAAGCAACCCCGGAGTTCTCGTCAATGAAGACATCAGATGAAAGTTCACTTAGTCAGGCCCTGTGTTTCTCTGACATAAAGGAGGCTTGGAGGAGGACAATAAAAAGATGAGCTCTGCAGAGTCTGCAATAAAAACATTCTGACGGCTAATCCGGATAAAAGATAGATTATAGACCAGAAACAGACCCTTTTTTAATTGGTTTTAGATTTGTTAACCCACGTTGTCAGATGTGTTTTAGAGGAGCGAAGGTGTTAATAGGTGAAGGGGAAAAAAGTACAATTTGCTGTTAAAAAGAAAAATGGGATGACTTGGTAGTTTATGGTCAGCGATAAGCTTTTATGAATGTTGCATGTTGAAGAGCATTAATGCCTTTTTTTAGATTGTGTGCGCATTTTTGCATTTGTTTGATTGCACAGTTACAAACTCATGCTATGGTTTTACATGGGACCACAGTGATGAAGCCCCAAATGCAGACAATACCAATGACAAGTCTGCAGGACAACAGGAATGTGTTAATTCATATTGAGACCTCTGTTGTTAAACGCAAAGACTTATTAGCACATGTTTACGTGGCATGCTCATGCAATGTAGTGAGCTTGCCAGCAATGAAGTATAAATGATAAAGTATAAATGAATCGCCAACCAAACAACTCAATATATGCTAAGATATAAGATATATGTGTGTGTGTGTGTGTGTGTGTGTGTGTGTGTGTGTGTGTGTGTGTGTGTGGCAGGGCTGGACAAATTCCAGGAGCCAGGTAACCAATGTTCCTTAAAAACTTCAGCTGACAACTAACTTCTGAGGTTTTCTCTAGATGTTGTCAATGGAGGTGACTCCTGAATTAGAGAGGCTGGCTCCTGAATACATATTAATTTGTCCAACCCTGACATAGACTAAATATTTTACATGCCAACGGTACTGTAATTTTCTTCAGCCATTCTTATGGTTTAAACACCAGTGCCCAAGTGCAGAGCCATCAAGATGATTCCACTATCTCGAGGTTCAGCTTGGCAGCATTTCTTTGTCACCTCATTGAACAGCCATCAGTATGATGATCCTGATTAATTGCCCAGTGAGCAGGTTGGAAGGAGAAAGGGTGACATAGAAGCTGCAAAGCTAGACCAGGAAATTGTGGTGTCATCTTCCTGGCTGCGCAGAATGACAGAAGTGTGTGAATTGTATGATTGGTTGGGCAGACTTACAAATATTTCATAACATTAAAACTTTTTTTTGTGTTTGCCTGATCTTATTACAAAATGGATAGATGTCACCAGCACACCAACAATGTTGTGTCATTCTGAGCCTGATGAAGGGGATTCTGCGTGACCCCGAAAGCGCTAGCGTTGGTGACATGATGTTCCAATAAATTACCTTTTTGGACCTCAACATTGTTGGTGTGCTGGTGACATCTATCCATTTTGTACTGAGTGGCGGCGCCATCCGCGGTCACTGTGAGCACCCCCATCATCATCCAATTTTGGGGTTTTTTTCCGGTAAGGAGTGCTATAAGGTATCTTTTTCATTTGTGCCTGATCTTATTGACCCAAGTTTGATGTTGTTTAGTGTGAGAGGTGGGGATTACTTTGGGCTGAGGTAGGGTTTCAATGAATATTCAAAAATAACCCAAAACTTTCAGAATATAATGATAAAGACTGATAAAATAATTAAATTTGTGGCGGTTATTTAATTTGTTAGACCGGTGTTGCCACACACCTCAGCAATCGCCAACCGTGGGATTGAAGTGTTATGCTGTAAATTTTAATATAAAATTTAGGAGAGAGTGTTTGTGGGCCCCCAAAGCACATTGGTTGTTTTGTGTTACCCTGTTGTGAACTAGTACTGATAATAAAGTAATTTGGACTCTTACACATTTTGTATGGTGCTTTCATTGGATTTTGTGCATGTGGATCCCCTGAAGGGTGTACTGTTGTGTGGGGGGCAGCCTTACTACAGCCACCGTGCCCTGACTGACTCGCAGAAAGTTCAAATTCAAAGTCTCCTTTTCACACGTTTGGACCCCACCAACTTTATCATTCCCACACAGCTGCCAACTTTTGCATCACTTGCCCCTGGTGCTTATATGGTAAATCGCTGTATAGTAGTAATAATAATAATTAAAAAATGCCCATAACATGGATTTTGGTGTGCTGTTGACACATTTTTGGACATATCACCAGTGGTACCGTGAACCATTGGTGGGGCACTAGAGCACACACATTTTAAATGATCTGGATACCATTTGGGAGCAATTTTTTTAGGTGGGGAGAGCATTCAACAGAGGTGTGAATGGTGTTACTCTCCTGGCTATGCAGCATAGCAAAGGTGTGTAATTCAAAAAAGTAACTGAACCACAGGTATTTAGTTCTGTGGCTGGAGTTCAGCTTCAACATTGTTGCTCATTTTGTTTTGCTTATTCCTAAAGCCCAACAAACTTATGTAATCAGTACAAATTATGACTTTATTTGAAGATCCTTTAAAAAAAATGTATGCAATCAAATCGTACTTATTTATTTTTGCTTTTTCCTTTCTTCCTCTCGCACACAGTCTGTCCCATTGTCTTCATCCAGATTTGGGCATTACTATGATGTATCAAAATCAATGTGTCCAGAAATGTTGCAGCATGTCAAGACACATAGCTTCTACCTTCCAGAAATGGTCCCTCTGGAGGAAATGTACAGGTACATCTTAATTATGATCATGTTCAGCTTCAGAAATATTATGTAGACATAAGGAATGAGAGTATCGTCATATGAAAATCTGCCAGTGTATGGCTAGCTTTAGTGTTGTGTTCAGCAAACTGCGATGTGTGCAGGGTATAACTATATAATTCATTCCTATGTTTTGTATGGCAGTTGGTAACATTTTCCCAACAGAATCGTTATATGCTAAGATTATACAAAAGCCGATCTGTACTAACCCCAATACAATTGTATTTATATTTTAGATGATCAGTTATATTGTGATGAAATGTATTTATTACTAGTGTTTTCCAAGCCCTTGTATATAAAATCACTTTTTTCCTAATGGAGAACAGCAGGTGAATGTCTGTGGCCAACATGTACAGAAGCCTCTGTGAGTCAGGACAGCACAGTCACCAACACGCCCCCATCTCCATCTACACCAATTACATTTGCAGACCATGTTGTGGGCGTTGCCAAGTGGGTGGGGCTTGTTTTCCTGACCCCCTCTTTTCCCCCAGGCCAGTGCCTGTATTACCACTTTGCCTCTTGGCAGCTTGTTGTAATATTTGAATAGAAATTGAAGCCAGTAAAAAAAAATAAGAATCAACAAAGGGTGTTTTTTCAGGAACAAAAATGCTAGACTGGCTGCATTATATGACTCCTAGATGACTAGTGTTAAAAGATTTAACAAGCAATCACGGCCAAATTATACATTCTTCTATTTTATAATAATAATAATAATATTTATTTATTTTTTAAAGAAATTAGTTTGTAAAAAAATTAAAAAAGCATTTGACATTTGTGGTCAGCTTCAGTCTGAATGTATAATTGAGTGATTGGTGCCATCTTCCCTCATATTATAAATATTTGTCCATTCTATTTATCTCTAACAAAGATTTATCAGTTAAATAGAGAACATCCATAATGTTTCCAGTCCTCGTAGGGAGGACAGGCCCCTGGAACTGACACGTACGTGTAGCCTTTGATACATGTGTGTGTTTGGAGCCGGTGGGAGGCTCGTTCATAAGCCCTTCTGGCAGCTAAAGCAAACATGTTTAGTGCTAAGTATTTACCTTTTTACCCTTAATGCAAACAGCATGGAAAGGGCTGTTTGGCAACACTACAGGCAGCGGAGGACATGAACAAAGGTCGCAGCGATTTTCATCATCCGTTCTGTTAGACCTTCTCCGGTCAGCAAATAAAGCAATCTGTACACCCTAGGGAAATGGAGAAGGGTTTTAAGGATTTTATTTTAATAGTAAATAACATTAAGCCTGTTAACTGCACTTACAGATAAACCTTTCTACACATATCCCAGAAACGGGCTTATCTCAGGCCTTTAATACAGTTTTATATAATTTGTGAATGGAAAAATTCTCACTGCTCTCTGTGGAGAATGTGTGCTGGGATCTGAGAAACACATTAGGCCTTTGGAGTGCAGCAGTGTGTTGTGGATTAAGGTGTATCTGTAGCTAGAACTTTAGAACGCCTGTCAGATTTGTTTTGTGGCTTGTGTCCAGTTGGGAAATTTTCTTTAACTTCCTGTCCTGGAGACGCAACATGAACTGAAGGGAAAGCTAACTCATAAACAGTTATTATTAAAATAGGTATCCCTGTTGAAAGGATGGTCACAAGGACATATCAAGAGAATATGTTAAAAAAACAAGAAAAATAAAAGTTTGGCTAGAGATACACTGTAAAGGACTAGTAAGTGTTACCATAAGGCTGGCCATACCTTGATCATTTTTGATTCCCCCATCCACACTAAATAGTGTAGGTGGGGGAATCCCTCCAGCCGAGTTGATTGGCTGGAGTTACTGTTCGGCTAGGATTTTTTGGAGCAGCTGCTTTGACAAAAGTTGGCTGAAAATGACTTTCGATTAATGTAGAAGTCACACATGGCTACAATTTGGTCTGAGTGACCAGTGTATGGCCAGTTTTATTAGCTAAATCCTTGTGGGGGCTTAAACAGGGATTACGTTGCTTAGGACTACCTTAAAGGTGACATAACGCTACCCTAAAGGTGACTTTATCGATCACAAATTTTCTAACTTGCTGATAACTTTCTGTACACTCTAAGAAGAGAAAACAAATAGCTTATAAGATCTTTAGGCTACTTGCATGAAACACAGTGTCAGGTCCTGGCATTATAATTGATGTCTATCTTTCTCCAGTGCCAGATCCTTGCACTATAATCGATGTCCATCTTTCTCGAGTGGCAGGTCGTAGCACTATAATTGGTGTCCATCTTTCTCCAGTGGCAGGTTGTAGCACTATAATTGATGTCCGTCTTTCTCCAGTGCCAGGTCCTTGCACTATAATTGATGTCAATCTTTCTCCAGTGTCAGGTCCAGGCACAATGACTTGTGTCCACTTTCTCTAGTGCCAGGTCCTTGCACTATAATTGGTGTCCGTCTTTCTCCAGTGCCAGGTCCAAGCACTATAATTGTTATCCATCTTTCTCCAGTGGCAGCTACTGGCACTATAATCGATGTTTATTTTTCTTGGGCAGACATATGGCTTTACTTTTTCTTTTTTTAGATTTGCATATAGTTGGGAAGGGCTAGACCCCCTGTGGGGAATTGATAGCGGTTTCCTACTTGCACAGGAATTAAGGGAGTATGTCTGCAGTTCTATCTTAATATTTTTAAATTCTGTCAGGCTAGGTCTTCTTTTAGTACCTGCCAATGGATTACCATACAGAAAAGCTCCCAATGGAGGTATGGGTATCTCATCAAGAAGGATGGTACTTAAAGAAAATCTATCACTGAACGGATTTGCTGACTCTAATAGAGGCACAATATTATTATAATATGTAGTTAGAACTAGCAGTCCACTGATTGATATAGCTTGTTGCTGCTTATCACCATTATTTAGCCAGGTAAATACTCTGTATGCTTCTCACCCCATAGTGAGCTTTTCCCTTGTCACTCCCCCCCCAGAAGAACACACTGGCAAATCAGGCTAAGTGACCTTCTGTTTTCTGTTCAGGTGGAATGACAGTAAGCAGATTGATTAGCAATCACAACAAATAAAGGTAGCAAATTAGTCTGCGGTGCTAAATCCACAAGTGGTCCTAATTCCAGCTTGTCCTGGGGAGTAACGAAGAGGAACATTAGTTTACTCCCGCATTTCAAAGTGGCCTACTGGATCTCTGTAAGCTGCAAGTAGGGCTTCACAATGTAAAGTCACTGTTAAAACAAGATGTGCTTTCATTGTTCTGTGTGTGTTGTACATAGCAGGATACTGGGCAATCCCACAAGCTGAATGCCTTCTGAGAAAACAATTGCACTTTAATTTTACCATTGAGCCAAAAAAAACTGCACACCGATGTGTTTCACTTCAATTAAATCCTGTGTTTGTTTTTTTTATTTTTAAATGCTAAAACATTTGTAAAACTAAAAACTGAGTTTCAGATCTTTAAATTTACATTGGACCTATGTTGAAAATTGACACTTGAATTAATTGGGCTTATGTCAGGCTTACCAAATTACATTATTATTGTTTTTAAATTAGAACTCCAGGTATATTAAGCATTACCACTTGCAGTGGAACTACCCCCATACTGCAAGTGTTAAGTGCTCATTTTGGTCTAGGGTCTAAAATAAAAAAATATATATTCACTCGATCCTTGGTCCCGGGGCAGTGACCCCTCCCTCTCCACCCTGGCTGTGAATTGTCCCTTGGCGTCTTCACATTCAGTGCAAGTCAATGGATGTGATGATGTCACAGGTCTTTAGACCACTGGAGCCAGGGGAAGAAGAGATTGTGGTGACAGGTTCAGGTGACAAGGATCAAATGAGTATATCTTTTTTTAATTATTTTTGAAAATGTGTATTTTAGACCCTAGACTAAAACGAGCAATTAAACCTTGCAGTGCAGGGGTAGCCCCACTGTGAGGGTTAATGTTTAAAATGCCCAGAGCACTTCTTTAAGTTAAAAAAAGTTGGGGTTTCTTGAAAAAATAAGAAAGTTGTAAGTGCTGTAACAAAGACACTTAAGGTGCCCATACATCTGTTGATTATCGTAGGTTTCTGCTGTACGGTCGCATGTCTTTTGTCTTCCGAGCACGCTTGAAAACCTGCCGAAAATCGTAAGATTTTCGTCGGGTTAGTGGTGTGCTCGGAAGACAAATGCCGAACGGGCCGCAAGTACGATCTGCCTGTCCAAGATGGGCAGATCGTACGAGATTTTAAGGACCTTACAACCATTGCACAGCGAAAGTCGTGTGATGGTTGTAAGGTGTATGGCCAGCTTTAGAAGAGAATTTATCGAAAGTGGAGCAGACAAAATCTGGAGCAGCTGTGCACGGCAACCAATCAGCTTCTCTCTTTCATTTTTAAATCTTAACTGAACAAACTGAGGGGAGAAGCTGATTGGTTGCCATGCAGAGCTGACCAAGGTTGTTGAGTTGTAGTGAGATAGGGAAATCAGGAAAGCACAACCAAGAAGAAGTGCACCTGTATATGTAATTAGCAAATATAGGATTGTCATCTTTTGCTCCTTGGCAATCCACACATGGGTGGAGGGGCATTGGGACATGCGTAGTATGCTGTGGCTTTTATAAAGTAAGCCTGGCGCAGGAGACGTGGTTAATTCAGAGTAGTTTAGGGATCATGAGCACAGTAAAACAGATCCAGGTTTTCATCAGCATTATGATAAACAAAATGTATACGTCAGTCTGAAAACTGAGATAACTTGTAATTACACTTTATAAATATAACATATAATTGTTCTGCAATTTGCCTCGTTATAACAATACTAAAAATATTTTTATGGTACAAAGCATGGATAAGTTATTTACAGAATAAATAAAGACTTGATTTACTTTGTTTAATGTGACACTATGGTATCTGCAGGCTAAAATTGCAAACACCAAAAAGTTTACATGCAAACAGTAAAAAAACAACAAACACATTAAAGTGTCAGTAAGCCCAAATTTATTTTTTTTCATCAGAGGCCCCCAAATAAATTTCTCTGATTACGGGTGCTCTTCT